CACTAAACTCAGCAGTTAAATCTTAAAAAAAGGAATTAAAGTTCCTTAACTATTAACAACAATGTATCTTATTTGTGTATCACTCGGCTGTAGAGCCACAAATCATCTCTGAATTGGTGCTGACACTGTCCTTCCTTCTGGAGGGGGGCTACTTTTGTTCCCAATGGTCCCTGTGTGTGTTGTAAAGTAGCCACCGCTCCAAGCTCCCTCTCATGATGGACTACAATCTCAATACCAATAAGTAAACTAAACGTGAGATTGTAGTCCATCACGGGAGCGAGCTTGGAGCGGTGACTATTTTACAACACACACAGAGACCATGGGGAACAAAAGTAGCCACCCTCCAGAAGGAAGGACAGTGTCAGCATGAATCTCAAACCCAAGCTACATGCTGACCTCCACGTCATTATGAGGCACAGTGTAAACACCGAGCACTGTGGAGGAGCAAGGCTTTTGACACTCCTGGAAACGTTGGATTCTCTTGAACGGTGTTCTGGTGGCTTGGGCAACAGGAGAAATTCATTTTCCCTCAACTGTTTTTTCAGGTCGACCTCTTTGGGAATGGTTCTTTTAGGATACATTCAGCAAGGGTGTGGAATTCCTATTGCCCGACGCCCTGGACAAGCAGTTTCGGGCGCCGGCGAGTAGTTTTTTTGTACATTTAGCCCTGCTCCGGACAAGCAGAGCTAAATGTACAGTGTGGGGCCTCCGCTCGTTTTTTATACAAGTGATCTGATCAGATCACTTGTATAAAAGGAGCGGCGGAAATCGTGTCCGACCCCTGCCGCCGTGGCTTTCGGGGGCCCCCGCTTCTCTGGGGGACCCGTGACCACGGCACATGAGCTCACCATAGAGCCCGTAGAGCAGACAAAGAACGTCTGTTCTTCGTCTGCTCTGTGTTATCACTGAGACCGTGGCGCTGTAATCACATCGCCACCTATCTCAGCTGTCAGGAACTGCACAGAACATCTTTTTTCCATAGAGAGAACCTGTCACCTCCAAACTATCACATAAGGAATTGTTAATCCCCATATGTGATAGGAATAAAATTAAGAGGGGAAAAAAAGTTAAAAATAATAAAAAATAAATAAAGTTATAAAAAAATAATAATATATATAAAAATGAAAAAAAATAAAAGTTAAACCCCCCCCCCCTTCTATACTTACCTTTCGGCGAACAGTCCTTACCCACCACCAGTACAGATGTACTATCTGTACCCCGTACCGCAGTCCAGCCCTAAGCATTTTTAATTTCGCTCGCAAATTGCAAGCAAATTGCAGGTGACCACGCTGACCAATGAGAAGCGCTATTTAGCACAGTCAAATACAGTTTTTATTAGGTATGTGGCCAATCAGGAAACCGGGAGGCGGGTCATTAGTCACTGCCCTGCTTCCTGAACATCGATCCGGCTTCCCGCCCAATCAGGTCATTACTCGCCGCCCGCTTTCCCGGTTGGCTGGGAAGCCATTTTCCCTGCCAATCACAATCAAGCCGCCCAAACAACAAGGACCTAAAGGGTCTGGTATGAATTTCTCGGGAACTGCACACTGCTTGTTTTTTTTAAAAGGGGTCCCTCCTTACATTCCTTTTTTTTAAAATTATGATTATTCTATGAAGAGTTAAAGGTGAACTATGGGGCCAGGGCTTTTCACAAACTAGCATCCTACTGTCACCCAAAGCTCAGTATACCGAGAGATACAGCTCGCGGTATACTGAGACGCGGCAGCCGGGACTGATCCCCACATTGCTGTCGAGATCCACCCAGCTGCGTGAGTGACAGCTGGCTCTGCCTATCTAGAGGCAGAGCCAGCTGTACCCGCCCCCTCCCCCGTCCGTTCCGCCAGACAGCGCTGGAGGGGGGGAATCCCTGCAGGGAGCTGTGAGTGACAGCCACGGCTCTCTGTAGGGACATGATCGAGAAGTGAGCGAGCGCCGGTATGTGTTCGCTCACCTCCCGATCTATTGAGCCGACGTGTGACAGTTTCATTGTCACATGTCGGCTCGAACTATGATTTTCACTCACCTCATAGTTCTCCTTTATACACTTTTGTGTATTCTGTGACAGCTGTCAGATTCTTTACATTGGGGATGAAGTGTCCTTACAGAAACTGTTACAGAATAACATAGGTCTCTCAGCTTCTTATTGTGCAACAATATTGTGTTACTTTGTTTTCATTTGACATACAAGTCAGAGAAGCCAGAGAGCGGTAAATTACATCTCCCGTTTGTTGTGTTTTGTTTCCGAAAGAAATTCAGATGTATCCGAATTTCATTATCAAACATTCGGATTCCTTCAGATCCGTTATTTCTGTTGTTCGTAAATTTGGATGCATCAGAATGTCCAAATTTACAGAAATTCGTACGAATTTCAATTCTGAACTAAATGAATTGCACATGTCTAATTGCGTTGCCCTTCTTTGTGAATGACCCCCCAGGCTATTGTACAGTACCATTCAGCACCCAATACCCAGTTGTATTCTAAAAGAGACGCTGTGCAATTTCTGTCTTTGTGTTGGCATTAACACCCCACAACCGAAGTATGTGTGATTCTGCCCTTAGTGCTCCCTTATACTGGGATACATGCTATAAAATGAGTATCATGACTTGTTTTATAATGTACACTAACGCAATGTATTGTAGACATATGTTGTGATGCAAAGTTCACCTTTCTGACCATGTTTCATGTTACACTCAAATTTACCTGAATCTCAGGGTTCTTCTCAAACAGCACAGATGGATAAATCTCCCTGCCGGGCTATTGTATTCTGACAGCTGGCAACCGCTTCTGTCAGAAGAATACCTTTCTGTCAGTAACTGTCTGGCCTACAATTTTAGGCCCAGCTCCTTCAGAAAAGTCAATTGAGTATTGACTTTTGTTGAGCAGGCAGGGCTGCCCACTGCTTGAATTTCGGCCCTATTCCTGTGAATCTGCCAAAATTGTAACAGTGTATGGATGGCTTTAACAGCACCCAAATAACTGTAACGCACAAAAAGTGGTAATGCAATGCTCCTCCACACACAGAAACACATACGTTTCAGTCTAGGTTCACACAGGCTAAATCCGTGCGATATCGCCAGGGCCAGATTTACTCTCCCTGCTGCCCCAAGGCCAGGAGGTGGCCGGAACTGCATGTTCTGGGCGCCGGGGGATTCCACAGACGCTGCTGCCCCTCTGCGCCCTGCCGCACCGAGGCTGGGCCTCGGTGGCCTTGTGGGGAATCCGGGCCTGGATATCTCACAAAACAGAGATGTGCATTCAAGTCTATGGAGGCTGTTCACACCTTTGCCATTTGTCGCGCGGTAGCAATTGGCTGTCCCGCAAAAGGGGGCAGGAGCTATTTTCGGGCGGTTGTCGCGCAATTTGAGTCCAATAGACATCTCAATGCATTGAAAATTGTGCAACAACGTGCGGTTTTCAAAGCAAAAACGCAGACAACCACACGAATACAGCTCACTAGCTTGAGTGCCTAGGTGTGAACCTAGCCTCAATGCACAGCGTTTTGATGTGAATGGGCCCTTGGGGGGGCATTTTAATACTGTCTCACTAAATACACCCTACAGTTGGAATTCAAATTACAATTAGCACTATTAGCACGCCAGTTACATTAATTATCCCTAATGCAAGACTGTAAGACATTCTATTACACAAACGCTTTGTGGTTAGTCCTGGAAGGGGTTTGCGATGTCTGGTCTTCGGGAAAATGGCGGCGTATGGTAAACAGAATACAGCCCTGGGTGTTATAAGCGGACATGTGAATTGAGCGGGCTGTTACCCTAGTGACGGAAAGTGACAGTAGTGCGCTGGAGAGATTTGAGACACAGTTATTGGTGTTCAGTTTCGCGCCAGGTCGGTGAGGTAAAGAGAGGGGTTTGTGGTCGGTCCGCGGTGATTGAGCGGGGTGTCCCGGCCTTCTAGCCCTGGATCGGGAGGTGAGGTGATCTGTGATGTCCGGGCAGTGCTCGGGGGGTGAGGGCTTTAGACCAGGTGGACATGGGCGAGCTCAGTGGACATGTACAGGCACGTCTGTGACAGCAGGGCAGTCTGTTTACATTGATATCCATTGTTTATGTGAAACATCTTCAGATTAGGTGGCATCCCCCCATGTTCGACATTCTTTGTTGCTAAAGCTGTGATTTCTGAATATTTGTGAGCAGACCTTTATCATAAGCAGTCTCTTATGGTGTATGGACACTTCTATGCAGCCAATTCACTTCAAGTGACACTAACCTCAGGTGTTATATCTTAAAAATGTATTAAAGTACCTTAACAAAAATGTATCTTATTTGTGTCTCACTCATCTGTAGATCCTCAAATCATCTCTGAATTGGTGCCGACACCAGGGGCGTCACTAGAGGGGTGCGACCTGCACCTAGGTGACACCATTGGAGGGAGTGACACCAAAATGTTTTGGTGTCACCCCCTTTGAAAAGTTGGGGCTCTCAGTCATGGACAGAGAGTTTGACAGTTATACGAGAGAGGAGAGGACCCGGCGGCATACCTTAAACCCAACGGGTGAATGCCCACCCAAAGCTCAGTATACCGTGAGCTACAGCTCGCGGTATACTGAAACGCCGCAGCCGGGACGGATCCCACATTACTGTCTGGATCCACCCAGCTGCGTGAGTGACAGCTGGCTCTGCCTATTTCGAGGCAGAGCCAGCTGTAGCCCGCCCCACTCCTCCAGCACTGACTGGGGGAATCCCTGCAGGAAGCGGTGAGTGACAGTCACGGCTCTCTGCAGGGACAGGATCGGAAAGTGAGCGAGCGACGGTATGTGTTAGCTCACTTCCCGATCTATTGAGCCGACGTGCGACAGTTTCATTGTCACACATCGGCTCGAACTATGAGGCTAAGTGACTTTCACTCGCCTCATAGTTCCCCTTTAAGTCTTCTTTAAACTGGCAATGCGTGCAATGATGATAGATAACATGAGTTCATGATGCTGTGTAGCTGATTGTTGGAGCATCTTGTAAGTATCCCATCTTTGGTTTGCAGATGAAGACTGAAGCGTACATCTACCATGTCAAAAAAACCAACCTATCCTTTGCCACATTTAGAATGCCTGTGTGTTATCTGTCGGGAGATTTTGCTGGAGCCGGTGACGCTGCCATGCCATCATACTTTGTGCCGTCCCTGTTTCCAGATGACTGTGGAGAAAGCCAGTCTTTGCTGCCCTTTTTGTAGGCTGCGAGTTTCCTCCTGGGCTCGTTACAATGCCCGATCAGGAACACTAGTCAACAAGGAACTTTGGGAGATTATCCAGCGCCAGTATCCAGAGGAGTGCAGGCGTCGTGCTTGTGGACTGGACACTGGAGAAGAATTTGAAGATGGTGAGACTTTCATGCTTTCCCTATTTTGGCTTCTAATTGCTAGTCCTTTTTTTTTTTTCCCCCCTCTAATGCATGGACAATGTAAGGGGACAAAAAACTAAAACACTCAAAAGGAAATTTCTACTACCGTATGATTAGTGAAGGCCCATTTCATGCATGCATTGTTATTGCTTTGTCCCACTTGTTTCATACCTTGTTGTTTTTATGTTCATATAGAATTTAGAATATTTGTTTGCTGGAAACTGTAATCTTGAAAGAACTCAGTAATGAGACCTATAGCACTGATGGATGTAGACCTCTCTATATGTTTGGGTGCAGGAACAGCCTCTTAGTATAGAAGAGAGTACTATTCCAGATAACAATGTATGCGAAAATATAAGTCTAGTTTAGAAATCATCAGGGGTGCGGACATTTTTCCAAAAAACTACTTGTCCAATGACTAAAGCGGTGACTCAATCTACTTGTCTTGCTACAAAAAAATAATTTTAACCCAAACCATATTTAATCTTGCTAATAAGCGCTTCTCATTGGTCAGTGTGGTTTGGTGGACCACTACAAATCCCATGAGGCGTTGCAAGATTCTCACAGCCACAGACATGACTCCCGAAGAGAGATGTATCATGGGATTTGTAGTTTCACCACAGCTGGAGGGCCAGAGGTTTGCTACCCCTGCTCTATGTAAAAACGTTTGGAGGTGATTGGTTCTCTTAATATAGCCTGCCCTCCAATACAGAGGATCAAACACAGCGTTGTGCTCCATCTCCTGTGCAGCTCGGCTTGTGACAACTGTGAGCAGGAAGCGCTGTACTCGCAGCGCTTCCAACTCACAGCTGTCACAAGCAGGCTGCTACAATTGATCTGGACAACTGTACAGCCACCCAGATCACTTGTACAGAAAGAGCGGCGGCTTCCCTGCTTACCTGCAGCAGGGCTATATGTAGACAAAAAAACACCTGCCTGAAACTGCATGTCCCAGGTGTCGAGCGATAGGAATTGGGTACTCCTGATCATGCAACATTATTGCCAACCCATAGAAAGATGTATTTACAGTCAAATTTCACATTTTAGATGCTGGAACCCCTGTGCTCAAAGTACATGAGAGAAACATTGGAGTGTCCTTGCTGATCATCTTCTGAAAATGCTAGTTGTGTGGCTTCCATGCATCCGAGTCACAAGTGTCATAGAAATTTGGAATTCCCTTTCTCTATATACTTGTTCCAAGTCAGTGAATCAAAGTATTGTTTAATCAAAGTAAAACCTTTTTTGCCTATAGTTCTCCTCAGGTCACGGGAGGATATATACTGTGTTCTCTGGTGACCCAAAACTCGATATATATGCTGAGAGTGCCGCAGCCGGGATGGATCCTGACAATACTGTCGAGATCAACTCCGCTGGCTGATTGACCGCTGGCTCTGCCTCCATGACATTGGCAATGGCATCCTCCATCTTTCTCTTACCACAGGTTTCTTGTATTGGGTCAGCCCTAATCTCTATACATGAGATGTGAGAGGATTCTTTGTTTTTGTATTGCAGATTAAAAACACAAAATAATTTTAAATGTGATGTTTTTGTTCATTTTTGCATTTAGGCTTTACACCTTATCCAGCTCCACAACTGTGCAAACCAGGGGAAATCAGAAAAGAATATGAAGCTGAAATAACAAAGGTAAGACGGAATTATAATACACTGAAGCCTATCTCCTGGTGAAAAAACAAACAAAAACCCTTGCAATGGGGCTACCCTCTCTTACACGTGTTAACTGCTCATTAATGTCTGGAGAGGGGGGGGAGGGAGATGTGTAAATGTATTTTACTTAACTGACCCCAGGCAGTCAGCTCTCACCTCTCTCCCCTATGGCTTATTGACTGTCCATCGGCATCCTCCTATATTATGCAGGGTATAAGCCCTGTGTTAGATGTGATGACGCTGGCGGGAAGAGACATACTATGTCTCTTCTGAAATAAAACAATTTTACCTATATATGATGGAATTGTCCCCTGATCCCAATGTACTGGAGACAAATCATTGATAGTAGCAGCAAAATATAATTTTTCTTTTCCCCTCCCCTTTTTAAACCCACGGGTGGTCCTATTTAATAAAAACATGATGCAGCACCACCTACCGAATGTGGGTAAAGTGACACTAAAGCCTATTTTTTTTTCCCCCTAGTGCTAATATAAAGACTTACGTTTATATAATGGCTCTTGATGTATACATCTTCTTCCTTACAGTCATTTTACGTTGTCTCCCCTGTGATGGTGCTATTGTCCGGTGTTTTGGTGTCTCCTCCTTTCAGTATCCCTGCGTGTGTGTTCCCAGCATGCGTAAACTGCCTCACATAGTCTCACACTGCAAGCCACTTCCCCCTCCTGTAACCTCTAGTGCACATGTACCTCTCCCCTTACTGTGTGCTCAGTACGCACCATCTACTGCATGGACATTCAGGGAATCTGTGCTCTGCGGCTGGGAACGAGCAGTGCAGAAAAGTGTAGATTTGTACGTGTTTGATCACACTGCAGCATTTACAAATGTTGGGGCACGCTACAATGCTCGCTAGCAGTAAATTAATGTGAAAAAAACTGTTTCGTACCACTTCAGGTTTTATCCCGAAATACTGGAAATCAGCAAAGCCGCCCTCGATGGGTGAATGTCTGCTAAAGGTTGCCAAATCCTGCTTGACTAAAAAAAGAAAATGTACAATCTTGACTAAAGTTTATCATTAGATCGACTTTTGCTGAAGGGATATGATGAAAAATCGTTGGCCCAGCATTGTGTCTGCTGCTGTCAGAATACAGTGTACAAAGCAGGAAATTAATTTATCCATTTGGTGGGGGAATTGGTCCTATTTTGTATTTTTTCTTTAGCCTGCGGGGCTGAGAAAAAACAAATTTGACCGTGTACTCAGCGTTACAGTGATCTGTTGATCAAAATCTGAAGCATTGCCAGGAAATTCCCTTACAGGACAAGATCGTGCAAGAACAATACAATGTTTATTCCCTACCCCCACCTCAAATTTTGGTGTTTGTTTCTTCTGAATTTACCAATCTTCTGGATCAACTGATTTAGAATTTCTTACTGTGCGTACATAAGGAAGGAGAATGCCACAACAATGGTCGAATTGGCCTTTAAAAAAAAAAAGTGTGTTCTGTACCACTAACCTGGATCTGGCACCTCAGCCTAACCGCCATTAATCCCTTGTGGTCTACATGCTGTTCGGAGCCATTCAGACGCTATGCACAGTTCTAGATAACACCTTATAGAGTAGGTAGGCATTAATGTATATCTAAACCCAAGGATGAAGATTTGATATATTGCACTTTAATTCAGTGGCTGCATTAGGGTTTTATTTTCTCAGGCTTTTTTCCGCCGTTCATCCGGCCAGTAAAATTCTTCCTGTCTTCGGTGCTGCTTACTTACTGTATCTGAGGAGGAGCAGCTATGTCACCCTAGGAAAGGAAATGTTAAGACTAAGCAAGGCCCCCTTTTTATCTTCATAACATGGGGGAGGTTTGGTAGTCCACACAGAGGGCTAGGAAAAATGCTGACTTAACAGTGCAGCAGAGATGAAGCTCACAAGGTTTCTGGCTGGATCAAAAAAAGAGAAGGTCATTGTAATGTATTAAATGTAGTTTCATTGTTTTGGACTACTCCTCTACCTTGTATGTGTGCACACAGCACTGCACATAGATTTCAGATTTGTAGAGTTGAGTTGTGATTCTCTTTTAGATTGAAGCTGATCGGCTTAGGAGAGAAGAGGACGAGCGGAGGGCAAGTGAGGAATACATTCAGAAGCTGTTGGCGGAGGAGGAGGCAGAGCAGCGATTGTCTCTTGAACGCTCACAAAGGGAACTGGAAGAACAGATGAAGAAAGATGAGGAGCTGGCTTGGATGCTCAACAGTGATCTGGTAAATAGAGTAAAAGATTTTTCTTACTGGCCCATGGTTCATTTTTAAAAATATTCACACTTAAAAGAAAAATCCACTTAAAAAAAAACAACTATTGTGTAGCCTTTTTATCCCATAGTTCTCTTTTAGGGTCACAGGAGGACATATACTAATATCCTCTCGTGACCCAAAACTCAGTATATAGCGGGCTGTTGCCCGCTATATACCGATAGTGCCGCAGCCGGGACGGATCCCAAAAATACTGTCGAGATCCACCCAGCTGGCGGATTGACAGCGGGCTCTGCCTATCCAGAGGCTGTGCCTGCCCCCTCCTTGTCCGTCCCTCCAGTCAGCGCTGGAGGATAGTAGAGAGGAGGGGGAATCTCTCTGCAGGGAGATGATCAGGTAGTGAGCGAGTGATGGTATGTGTACGCTCACTTCCCAAACAATAGAGCTGTCGTGACAGTTTCAATTTTGCACTTTGGCTCTGTCTTAAAACTGTCCAGGCACAGTGTCTGTCTGTTTGACCCAGCATTGCTTTAAGGGGTTCTAAACCCTCCGTTTTTTTTTGCCTATATCTACTGCTAGCAAGCAGTAGATATAGGCAAGAAGTTTAAAAAAAACGCTTTAACTAGTTTTAAACTTACCTCGTTATCGCTGCTCGCTCCAGCGCCGAGAATCAGGAAGTATTCGTACGGCCGCAAAGGATCTTGGGGCAGGCGCATGCGCAGTTCGGATTCTCGGCCGGGAGACGAGCAGAGACGCAATGTAAGTCTATGGAGGCGTGCACCCGCATGCAGACACCGCTGGATCGGAGAGACAGAGCAGTCAGAGCTGGATTGGAGAGCTGCCGCACCGCTGGAGGGAAACATCAGGAAAGAAGAGGAAGATCAAAATAAGAGACATCGTTTAAGGTAAGTGCTAACATTTACATGGGGGGAGGGGAAAACAAAATTTGACTTTAATGTCACTTTAATACAGGACCTGGACTCTGCTGCCCCTGTGGGTCGTAATGTAGCACTAAAAGGGGTATAAAGCTCCCCTAAGAAAAGAAAGCATAACATTCACTTTAAACACTACCATTCCTCGGTTACATAAGTTGCACTATCATTTTAATTGGCAGACATATATATATATTATATTTCTGGTAAATATGAAGGAGCACAAAAAAACATGAAAATAAAAGATATGTATTCTAAGTTGCTTCCAAATTAAAGCTTAATATGACGTGGAAAATACTCTGTTTCCAGGAATCTTCCAGGACAGCCAGTTCCCGCCCTTGGTGTGTATCCAGGTGGCATCCGAGGTTGGATGCAGGAGGGGATACTTTTGTGCATGGGGTAGCCTTCGGTCCTAGAGGTTACTGACTTGGGATGGAAGGAGGAGTCTATTTATTTAATGTGGTTGATGTGTTTCCTGTTGCAGGCAGGCGGAGCCTATATCTCGATGGCTGTCCTGGAAGATTCCTGGAAACAGAGTTATCAGGTAATCAACTCATGTTTTTTCATATGTATAGCATATAATATGTTGGGGTAGACTACAAACTCAGACTACAAAGTTATAACGTATAGAACTGTGATGAGTAGAAATGAAAAAACGCTCTGGGACTAGAGGGGATTTTGGGAGGAAAAGGTCAGGGGCATTTTGTAACTGTACACTGTTGGTCATGGAATGCCCCCTGAAATGTAATATCTTGCTTTGTGTTTTGGCTCACTGGTTTTTCCAGAAGGCTTTTCTGAGGCTTACATTAAATTATTTTTTTTACTAATAAAGGAATGCAGACCCTGAGAACTTTGAGATTTGCTTACGAAGTTATTATGAACTCAGACCCCTCCCCTTTAGGAATTGGTCTAGAAAGGACATGGTTGAACAGCCATTTATTGCAGATTCCTACCTTTTTTTTTTTTTTTTCTAGTCTGAATAAAGTTTGCCAAAATCCTATCGTGGTATAAAGATCACCAAAGAAGATTGTGTTTTTTTTTTTTAACTAAACTGCAGTCTTAAAGGTTTAACATTTTCTTCACTAGAATGAGTCCACTGCATCTTCTGTTGTGTATATATCCCCAGTGGAGTCGCCTGTAATCCACAAGAAGACAGTCGGTACAAAGTCCTCTAAAACTGTGAAAAGCAATCGAACGCAGTCTGGAGACATTGAGAGGTGAGGAAGGAATAATGATGTTTAGTAGAATCTTGTAGCTGAAAAACCTAACTTGATTAGGAGAGACAAAATTACCACTAACACCCATATTGCATCGATTTTTTTTTTTTTTTCCTGTATTGTAATAAAGATGTTTTCTGTCTTGTAAGAAGCGCTGCCTCCGGTTGAGGCATCCCTCCCTGTAGGGGGTCAGCAGTACGTCTGCTGTGTCTACACATGGAGTTGCATCAGTTAAGCCCTTGTCCCGCAATGGAGAAGTAAAATAGTTTTTTTTGTACTCATGGTAAAGTCCTTTTCTTTGAGTCTGTTGTGGGGCACAGGTCCCACACCTCTGTTTATGTTCATGCATTTGGTACTGCTTTGTCAAGTAAAACTGAGGCATGCTGGGAGCAGAAGGGGTTATCTTGGCCTGGCTCACAGTTTATTTTGTTTGCCAGTGTCCAATACTTTTGTGGATGACCGTAAACCCAACAGTATCTGAATTCCTGTCCTCTTCAATATGCTCCAAGAAAAGCATTTTACATTGAGTACAAAAATCCTTTATCTGGCAGCAAGAAGTTTAAAATAGCGAGGGAGTCGTTCATTTTCTTACTGCTGACCAGATTTAGGCCATCAATTTCTACACAAAATCTACATGTGTCATTCATTAACTTTCATTTTTTCTATTTGTATGTTGCAGGTTTCTGTCGCCTAAATCCGTAAATTTTGGTGATACTGCAGGGCCTAGTTTTGTCCGAAATGGGGAGCTTCAGGTAAATTAATCTGTTTTCAAATTAAAGATTTCAGCTACCTAAAAATAGTGGTTTTCCAGTGCAATAAGGATATCAACCCACGTTCAAAGGCTGTTAAATCGCGCTGTTTACCCATATTTTCAGAAAAAAAAAATCTTCTACTGTCGTGGTAAACAACCTGCTTCCCTGTTTATAATGGTCTGGCCCTCTAGCAACTTCAGCGCGAAATTATAGCTAATTTGCCTACAAACATCATAATAATAATCTGGCCACTCGGTGTATGTTCCTGAGGAGGTTCTTTCAATAATTCGGTGCCTTATACACGTTCGGCTAAATTTAAGTTTGGGGTCTTTGTAAGTTATTCTGGGTATTATATGCGAAATTAGGAACTGAATGTTTAACCAGTTTGGTTTGATGGCAGCAATCTTTATATGAGACGGAGTGGGTGGTGTGTAAGTGGGACCTGTAATCATTTTTTCCCAGTCAAATAGTGTTTTTTCAATCCTCTTACCACTGCAATAAGTAACGTGGCCGCTTGGAGTAGTGTGCGTGCGTGATACCTTGTTTTAAAGTTCATCTGCCATTCTCGTGTGCAGTAGAATTATTTAGGGGGCACTATAAAAAGACCCATTAATTCAGGTAAGTCGCCAGGATCGCTTCTGTTGTAAAGCCGACAGCCGGCTCTACAAGTTTAAACAGAGTCCCGGCGGCAAAAGTCACCGGGAGTCTGTTTAAACAGCCCCGATGCTGGCGACGTACACTGTACGTCGTCAGTCACGAAGGGGTTAATAAGAAATCATAGATGATACTGTGCCTACTGTTTTCTATGGTTCTACCATATTCATTTTCTAGACAGTACAACCTTTGCATCCAGTCTAATGTATATTTCTATTCATTGTATTCACAGAACATGAGTGCTGGTGTGTCAGCTTTGCTGGAGGACTTGGAGGATGATGAGGATGATGATGATTCAATGCCCTCTCTCTCCCCTCAGTCATCTTTTAATCGTAGTCCTATGGAAGGATCAGATGCAGAACCTATGGAAGGATCAGATGCTGAACTTCAACTACCTGGTCTGACTAAATTTTCTCCTACCAGAAGTGCATTACAGGCACGATCACCCACAAACAAAGATTTCGGACAAACTGGAACTCATAAGCCTCAGATTACCATAACTACTGCAGAGTTCTCTCCTCCCAGATGTTCTAGCTCTCTGGACCATTCAAGCAAATGGCAAAGCCCACAATGCCTTGATATGCCTGAACAGTGGCATACAGTAACACCTAAAAGAACTCTTGATCTCTTTGAGGACACAGAGGACCATCCAAGTGAAAAGAGGCCTTGCCTGGAGAACGGCACAGCTCCTGGATGTCACACAGAGAAGTTAATGGAACTGGAAGAGACTCTTCATGGGAAAAAGATGCAGGAGGAGGAGGACCGGCTTCTGGCTCTAAAGCTACAAAAGCTGTTAGACAAAGAGGTGAAACAAGTCAGCAGACAGAAGGGTTCCCCAGATGCGTATACACTGCGCCCTAAAAGATCCGCTCCACAGCAGGAGCCATTAGAGTCTACACCATTGAAAAGGACCGCTTCGAGGGACAGTACAGGAAAAAACAGTTCTGAACATGGGGAATCCTCTGATGAAAATAAAAAACCTGCCTCAAAAAAGTGCATTCAGTTCCCTCCAGGAGGAGGTAGACGTACAAGGAAAACTTCTGAACAGCCCTCATCACCTAATGGGGTAAAAATCCTGAAGCCAAGTAACAAACAGCAAACTATACTTGACATGTTTCAAAAATCTACAAGAAAGTAACTTAAATAAAACGTTTGCGTCATGAACTATGGCAGACCGTTCGTTTTTAATCACAATCTTATTCTAAGATTGAATATGGATTTCTTGTATTCTATGCATGGTATCTACATGTAAGACCTCCTAGTCTAGACATCCACAAGCCCTGAGACAGTCTTTTTAAGAAGGGCTTCTAGCTTTGGTATGAGTTTGTGTTTTTTTTTTTCTCTCCAGACTGCGTATGCAAAATGTTATTTTTCAGTAACACCATTAACAGTTCATAGAAGCACTTCCAGTTAATGAAAGCCGATTGCTATTAGCTGCAAAGCTGCTTTAGCTTACATTTCTTTGCTACAGTTTTACTCCTGATGAATTTTGCACATATATCAAGTGCTGTTTTTCCACTGACTCATTAAAGCGTTCTTGCACTAAAATGCAAAGCCTGTGTTTGCGGCGGCCCCCCATCCTCGTTAACAAAACACTGTATTATGGAAAAAACACATTGAAAGAAAATGCATTAAAAATACCCTAATCTTGGGTTATCGTCGTTTCCTTTTGCTGATGTCAATGGGCCTCAGAGCGATTTTGGGTAAACTCTGGATCCCAGTTCTCACGAGAGGATACCACAACACTATACAGAAGCATGTTCTCGCAGAATTTGGGATCCTCAACTTTCCCAGAATCTCTCAACAATGAGTATTCATCAATGTTGCCCTTGCCTAAGCAGCCCACCAGAAGCATGGGAGTAAGGCAAGTCACTTTTTTTTTTTTTTTTTTTAATGATCATTTCAAAGTGTGTTTTTCTTTTTTATTTCCATAATGCAGCGTTATGAAAGACTTTGCCTTTTAGTGCAAAGAGGAACTCCAGGAATAAACTAAATTAACCTTGCAGTGCAGGTACAGCCCCACTGCTCATTTTGCTCTAGGACATGGGTAGGCAAACTCTGGCCCTCCCAGCTGTGGTGCAACTACAAGTCCCATGAGGCATTGCAAGACTCAAGGCAGGACTCCCAGAGGCAGATGCATGATGGGATTTGTAGTTTCACCACAGCTGGATGGCTGGAGTTTGCCTTCCCCTGGTCTAGGGTATGGATTAAAGAAGATACACTTTGCCTGATCCTCTATCCTGCCTGGCTGCTACACCGGTCCCCATAGCCTTCTCCCCGGCCCCCCCTAGGCTCTGGCAGTCTAAGCCCCGATGACGTTGTCACATCTAATGCAGGTCCAATCACTTGCATTAGACATAAGGACACTAAATGACATACCACAGCTGGAGTGGAGGAGGAGAGAGATGATCTGCTGCAGGACCCGAGGATCAGCTGAACATTTCTTCTTTATCCCAGCCCCTAGACCAAAAGAACAGCTATCCCTTGCAATGTGGGGGTAGCCCACTGCAAGGGTTCATTTTGGTACCAGCTATATTCTTTAAATATGCCCAGCGAGGGTAAGTGCCTTTTTATAAAGTACTGTTGTATTTCAGTCAAATGTAAACTTTCTTTTGTGCAAGCCACCTTCTGGTTCTGTTGGGTCTATGTATGTATGTTTTACCGGAACATGAGTTTTTGAGCGCTTGTACTGTATTATTGCTGGATTCTTGTTTGTATGTGTGTATATATATATATATATATATATCTATATATAGATATATATATCTGTAAATGAATAGTAATACTTCTAGGATTATATTATTGCCTAGTACAAAATGAACTTCTGTACTCTGTTCCATTATAATGTAGATATATGCAGTCTTTAGTTTCAGGTATACAGAGAGGCAATTAAATGCTATTCATTTTTATGGATTCATTACTCTACAGTCACTACTTTCCACAGATTGCTCGGTTATTGTTTTGACTGCTGTAGTGGTATTGGCTTGGCAGTCACATACAAACATGCACAGTTGCTGCCTTGTGCTGTATTTAAAAGGAAATAACACTGTTTTTTTTCTTCCTTCACTAATGCTGGTACCAGGGATCTGAAACCAAAATGTATCTGCTTGATTTGGTGTAGCATGAACAGTATGCAGGCTCACATTCATTGAAAGTAAGGATGTTCAGATACCAGTCCTGATACTCGCCATTTTCATGAGAACTACCAGGGTTGCAGAAGTTGCAGCTGGGACCAGGCTCTGGCGCTCCATCACTGTCCTGAAATCATTTGTTTGCATTATTTTAGAACAACTGTCACATGACAACAAAAATGTATCAGTACTTGTATCTGTAAGTACTTGGACAAGTATCAGTACTTGTACAACTGGTATCGGTGCATCCCTTTTATATTTATGAAAAAAAAATAATGCATTAAAGCAGAGATGTACAAACCCCAGGAGCTCCGTGTGCTCCTTACAATAACAGCTGCCTCCTAACTTCTGAATTTTCCTCTAGTCTAGTCCTGGAGCTGGAAAAGTATCTGTACTTGTACTTGTACCGAGTACGGTACTTGGTATCTGAACATCCCTAATTGAAAGCTACCTGTATTTACAGAGGATGTCTTCCTGATTTTGTGATGTAGATTTAACAGAAATATTTGAAAGTGACTTTGTTCAAGACAAACATCAGAGCTTCCATAACAAGTTTTATACACTTGATATATTTTTTTCTTTGGAATTTAAAATTCCAACAAATATGATTGCTGGGCAGTTTGCTGTTGTTGGATTTGTCTAAGTACACATCATATCATGGCCTTGAACAAAAAAAGCAACTCCAGTGTTTAAGTATGTCTTTAACTACCTTCCGTCCATGGCCGTTTGGGAACGGCCGGACGGACGTCTGCTAGGAGCGGGAGGGCGTCTTGAGACGTCCTCCCCCTTCTCGTGTGCGGCACTCAGCGCGCACACGAGAGGGAAACCTGTAAGCATGTAAACAGCCACTCCTGGCCAGGAAGGGGGTGAAACACCATGGCCTTTAAGTGGTTAAAAGCAGACTTCCGGTCAAATGAAATCTTAACCCTTGTAGTGGGGCTACCCCTGCACTGCAAGGGGTAAGTCCTCATTTGGTCTGGGGAGCTAAAATAACAAACCTTTTTATATACACCTGAGCCACGATCCCAGCTGGCTCCTACACCGCTCCCTACTGCCTGTCTGCTCTGCTCCAGCGATGGAGAGTTCCTTGGAGTCCTCATATCATATACGCTGTATAGAAGGTGATGACTCACTGGAGCAGAGAGAGAGCAAGGCAAGAAGCGGTCTAAGAGCAAGCTGGGATCATAGTTCAAGCTATGATATTACTTTTACCATAGAGTATTACTTTTTTTTTCCCGCTTCCTAGACAAAACTGTATACTGAGCTTAGGGTGATGGGAGGACGCTAGTATATGTCCCCCCGTTACCCTAAGGAGAACTATGGGGAAAAACACTGACCCCGTAGTTCTCCTTTTAACCCTTGCAGTGTGAGGGTAGCCCCACTGCAGGAGTTGAGATTTGATTTGCCCAGAGTTCTCCTTTAAGGTTGCAGTGGCCTATAGTCACATGGGAATGATGACTTTTTCTGCCAAACACTATGTACAACAACATAATGAAGTCATTCTTATGCGGCTCTTTTTGTGATTTACTTAAACATAAATTTGTGTAGTCTTCTTTTTACTTGATATCGGCTTCTTGACATTCTCAGGCATGTGCTGTGAAAACATTAATGTTGGGAATGCACAGCTGAATCTGTACCTAATTCTTGGAACCTGATGTCAAACAACAGCTTTGGGTTCTGTCATAGTAAACGCATACAGCCATGAGGTGCATTCACAAAATAAACCTTCTGCCTGCAGCCACCTCTGAGTCTGAAGATGGTGTCCCTCTCTCTAATACCTTACTTGTCTTACAATTGCAGTATTAGAATACATTGATTACAATATTTATATATACCATTATTAAGTTAACTGATGCTTCCAAGTTTGTTCTAGGCTGCAGTAACTTCAGGTCATAAAAATGTTAATTATTAATAAATGATTCCCCTAAAAGAGCACATCAACCGAGATTTTTTGTTGTTGTAAATTTCATCACTCGTTGGTACAATCTCCTAAGAATGTTAAATGTACCGAGTCAAAGCAAAAATTCTGCTTTTAAAAGGTAATGTTGGAAATGGGCATTTTGTGAACTGTTCTGCATACTCATTCCAGGGCAGAGAAAGTGAAGCTGTTCAGCTCTCCTGAAGGTAGTCACTGCGCTGAAAATGGCACGTGGTTTTTGGTCAGGGTATTTGTTTTAACAAACATATTTTATTTTTTACCGATTCCTTAAGATTTGCAGATTATATGTTTTTCTCTTTCTCATGTGTTATCTTTGGTGACCTGAGATAAAGGTGTGGCAGCCATCTCTGGCTCATTATTGATTAAAATGGAGGTACAATTTAGGTGGAGCGGGTGTTCATACTCATCTTGACCTCCCAGACAATATGGGTTCTGTACCTTTCCCTAATATGACCTAAGTATACAAGTGAAGAGGTACCAACCTATAACCACTTACGGCGGCTGACAAATGCATTTGGTACCTTTTTACAGTGCCATAAAACAATGCTTCAATCCTCCTAAAAAGTTCACCCCGGATGTCAACTGGTTAAAGGATAACTATGGGGTCAGTGTTTTTCCCCATAGTTCTCCTAAGGGTCTCACGGGAGGACACAAACTAGCGTCCTCCTGTGACCCAAAGCTCAGTATACCGAGATGCCAGAGCCAGAACAGATCCTGACAATTATGTCTGGATCCACCCAGCTGCGTGAGTGACAGCTGGCCCTGCCTATCTAGAGGCAGAGCCAGCTGTACCCGCCCCCTCCCCCGTCCGTTCCGCCAGTCAGTGTTGGAGGATCGGACAGGTAAGGGGGGAAATCCCTACGGGGAGCCGTGAGTGACAGTCACGGCTCTCGGCAGGGACAGGATTGAGAAGTGAGCGAGCGCCGGTATGTGTTCGCTCACTTCCCGATCTATTGAGCCGACCTGTGACAGTCTCATTGTCACCTCGTCGGCCAGAACTATGAGGCTGAGTGATTTTCACTCACCTCATAGTTCTCCTTTAATAGCAATTGTCTAATGTACATCTTCATGCCTTGGCTATGTCATGGAGTAAAGCAATGGCCGCATGAATAGAAATAGATTGGTTGGTTCCCCTACAAACGATTAGAAATATTTGGATCATAGTGTCAATTTAAACTGTTTCCTGGAGTCAGTCAGCCTATTTAAATGAAGACAAGTAGTCACGCTGTTGCTTGGTAACATTGTGTGCACAACACTGAACATGGACCAGAGCAAGCAAAGGTGACAGTTGTCTGAGGAGATCAGAAAGAAAATGATACACCAGCATGTCCAAGATAAAGCCGATAAGACCATCTGCAAGCAGCTTAATGCTCCTGTGAGGTGCGTGGGAGTGTAGAAAACCTCACTATTTTCACCAGGTGGTCCAGCCTATAGCACTTCCTGTCTTAGGGTGGCTCCACTATTGGACAGCAGCATGGTCACCCTATAGAGATGGTAGTGTTACATGCACTAGCAGATTTATATAGACTTGACTAACAAAGAACTCTGTGCAGAAAAAAGTTGACCCTTACAGTGGAGCTACCCCCCCCCCCCCCCACACTGCAAGGGTGCAGTGCTCATTTTGGTCTAGGGTGTAAAATAAAAAATATATTCACCTTATCCTCGGTCCTGCTTGGCTGCTAGACTGGTCCCTGCAACCTCTTCTCCTCAAGGGCCCTGGCAGTCTAAAAGCCAGTGACGTTATTACGTCTATACAATCTAGACCCTTGGTTCTCAACTGGTGGGTCATGACCCAAAAGTGGGTCGCAAACCTATGTTTTTAGTGGGTCACCGCATGCCTTCCACTTTTCTAGGTGAGAGGCTCCTCAACCTCCACCTAGCGCAGCACTGTCAGTTCTCACGCCATGCAGCCATTCAAAATATGCTGCCCGGTGCCAAGTGTCAACTTGAGGTAGGGTGGGCTGCAGTGCGACTTGGGTCGCGACTTAATGACCGAGGACAAATGTGGGTCCTGAGGTTACATAGGTTGAGAACCACTGATCTAGACATTTATGTTGTGGAGGGACATTCCACAGCTGTGCCAGGGGGGTGAGCAGTCCGCAGACTTTTTATTTCATGGATTCTTATTTAATGCTAACGTTTATTAAGTAGTTACAGCAGTTTTTTTTTGTTTTTTTTGTGTTTTGTTTTTTTTTCCATTTTTGTGATGAAGGTTTTACATAAATGAATAAAGCTGACCATTGTAAGCACCCCTGTCAGTGTTAAATGGTTTGTCTCAATCCTCTATCTGTCACTTTTGCCAGACAGCTTGGCATGTTAAAGGAAGTTGAAAACTAGACTTGCTGGCCGGATCACCAGGTGAAAACAAAGCCTACGACAAGAGAACTAATGCAGCCACAACCTCTAAGGATCGCTTTAGGACAGGGGTAGCAAACCTCCAGCCCTCCAGCTGTGGTGGAACTACAAATCCCATGAGGCATTGCAAGATTCTCACAGCCACAGACATGACTCCCGAAGAGAGATGCATCATGGGATTTGTAGTTTCACCACAGCTGGAGGGCCAGAGGTCTGCTATCCCTGCTTTAGGATTAAGTTTTTTATTTTAACTATACTTTAAAAAAAGTGGAATAAGTTCTACTTTAAGGGATGGTGCATCTGAGTGTTAAGTGAAGAACATGCTTTGTGTGATGTTCTATTGACTCAGCCAATACAGCCCTTCAATCTTGGCTGTATTATTGGGCTCTAATGCTGGGTACTACCCTGTTTCCCCGAAAATAGGACCTACCCCGAAAATAAGACCTAGTACTATTTTGGAGAATTGCTAAAATATAAGACCTACCCCGAAAATAAGACCTAGTTGTGACCATTTTCAGGGCCGGTGGTGGCATAAGGGGGAACATGACGAGCCGCAGAAGAGGCGTGAGAGAATCAGCAGTGCCAATGAAGCCAGCGCTAGAGGAAGCGAGGCGGCAGCGGAGGGAGCAGAGCCGCATAAGCCAATGCTTCCTCTATAGTGTCAGCTCCTGTCACAGGCGGAGTGATACCAAATGCACTCTGCCTGTGAGGAATCGATAGTGAAAGTGCACTTCACTCATTCTGGCCAGAGATTGGTTACCAAATTGCTCTTGGAAAGGTAAGGCACCCCTGATTGCCCTGATCACTCTATTCTTAATTTTGCCATTTTGGATTATTTGATTTGGATATGGATTTGGATTAACTTTGGCTTGTTGTACATAAAAAAAAAAAAATAAGACCTACCCCGAAAATAAGACCTAGTGTGTTTTTTTGAGCCCAAAAAAATATAAGACAGTGTCTTATTTTCGGGGAAACACGGTAGGAACACAGGCAGCCAACTGTACCCCCTCCAAGCACCTCTTTGATGTCTGCTGATATATTAGATCCCTAAGCACAGACAATCAAAGATGGTGGTGTTGGGGGAAGGGGAGTAAGACCAGCACTACAATGGAGGATTAGGTAAAATGAGGGAAAAAGCCTTCGTTCCTCTAACCAGTGCTGAAACATCAGCTTTTCTTTGCTGCCTGTTTTCTTATTGGGGGTCATTTCCTTCACTCTGAAATCAGTGATATTAGCCACCTGGTAAATCTCCCCAACAGGAACACATCCACCACGTGCATTCTGCACAATAACACCTCTATACACTGTATGTAGCAATATTAACATGAACCCTATCGCTAAACTAATTCTGTAAACCTAGTAAATGGCACTAAATGAGCCGATGTTTATCCTGATAAAGTCTCCCATTATATTCCTAGTGTTAAAGCTGAACTCCGGGACAAGCAAATACAGTAATACCTCGGTTCACAAACACTTCTGTTCGCAAACAATTAGGTTGCCGAACAGGAAGTTCTAGCAAAATTTTGCCTCCGTTCGCAAACTCTGCATCAGGTGACGAACACGACCGCGGCTATCTTCCGCGCTCTGACACGTGGTCGTCGCTTCCTGTAGTCGAGCAACAAGGTATGGACACCGGCACTCCAAAGGTAGAAGTACGTCTATTTATTGACGCACGTGCAAAACATGCTCATTGCTGTATTTGCACGTGTGTCGATAAATAGACGTACTTCTACCTTTGAAGTGGCGGTCTCCATACCTTTTTGTATTACTGGATGGTAGCCATCCGTCGACTGCCGATGCACCCAACCATTCTTGTTACGGATAAGCGGACAGGAGTGCAATGGGTATATGGATAGTAGTTTCCTGTAGTCATGATCGCGGTTGCAGACAGAGCTGTGCACACTTACTGGGAAGCTTTTTTGTGTGCTTTGTAGCACAGTACTGTACAGTATTACTGTATTCAATCCAGCATGGCTCCCAAGAAAGTGCAGAGCAAGCATGGTGGTAAAAAGAAAGCGCAGAGCGTTAATGAAGGTGACAAGAACGTGCAGAGCGGTAATGAAGGTAACCAGAAAGTGCAGAGCAAGCATGGTGGTAAAAAGAAAGCGCAGAGCGTTAATGAAGGTGACAAGAACGTGCAGAGCGGTAATGAAGGTAACCAGAAAGTGCAGAGCAAGCATGGTGGTAAAAAGAAAGCGCAGAGCGTTAATGAAGGTGACAAGAACGTGCAGAGCGGTAATGAAGGTAACCAGAAAGTGCAGAGCAAGCATGGTGGTAAAAAGAAAGCGCAGAGCGTTAATGAAGGTGACAAGAACGTGCAGAGCGGTAATGAAGGTAACCAGAAAGTGCAGAGCAAGCATGGTGGTAAAAAGAAAGCGCAGAGCGTTAATGAAGGTGACAAGAACGTGCAGAGCGGTAATGAAGGTAACCAGAAAGTGCAGAGCAAGCATGGTGGTAAAAAGAAAGCGCAGAGCGTTAATGAAGGTGACAAGAACGTGCAGAGCGGTAATGAAGGTAACCAGAAAGTGCAGAGCAAGCATGGTGGTAAAAAGAAAGCGCAGAGCGTTAATGAAGGTGACAAGAACGTGCAGAGCGGTAATGAAGGTAACCAGAAAGTGCAGAGCAAGCATGGTGGTAAAAAGAAAGCGCAGAGCGTTAATGAAGGTGACAAGAACGTGCAGAGCGGTAATGAAGGTAACCAGAAAGTGCAGAGCAAGCATGGTGGTAAAAAGAAAGCGCAGAGCGTTAATGAAGGTGACAAGAACGTGCAGAGCGGTAATGAAGGTAACCAGAAAGTGCAGAGCAAGCATGGTGGTAAAAAGAAAGCGCAGAGCGTTAATGAAGGTGACAAGAACGTGCAGAGCGGTAATGAAGGTAACCAGAAAGTGCAGAGCAAGCATGGTGGTAAAAAGAAAGCGCAGAGCGTTAATGAAGGTGACAAGAACGTGCAGAGCGGTAATGAAGGTAACCAGAAAGTGCAGAGCAAGCATGGTGGTAAAAAGAAAGCGCAGAGCGTTAATGAAGGTGACAAGAACGTGCAGAGCGGTAATGAAGGTAACCAGAAAGTGCAGAGCAAGCATGGTGGTAAAAAGAAAGCGCAGAGCGTTAATGAAGGTGACAAGAACGTGCAGAGCGGTAATGAAGGTAACCAGAAAGTGCAGAGCAAGCATGGTGGTAAAAAGAAAGCGCAGAGCGTTAATGAAGGAGACAAGAATGTGCAGAGTGTTAATGAAGGTGACACGAACGTGCAGAGTGTTAATGAAGGTGACAAGAACGTGCAGAGTGGTAATGAAGGTAACCAGAAAGTGCAGAGCATGCATGGTGGGAAAAAGAAAGTGCAGAGTGGTAATGAAGGTGCTTGTTGAGGAGCATTCCACTGAGGAAGAAAGGGAGGGGGTTAGCAGTGATGTGATAAAATCCATTATGGAAAAATGGAATGAGTGCCAGGATTTCTTTGAGAAGCACCACCCCAACATAACTGTAACGAACAGAGTCTTGAATATGATGAACGATAACGTGGTCTCTCATTTCCGGAGGGTTCTGCAGCGCACGAAAAGACAAGTGACAGACAGATTGTTCGCCAAAATCGACCCTGCAGCTAAGAGACAAAGAACAGAGGAAACCCCTGAAGGAGATCTCCCCAATGTCCTTATGGAGGGGGACTCTCTCCCTCCACACAATAACCTCCTCTCCACCCACCTTCCTGTCCTCCATGCCAGATGTTGCCCCAAGAAAGGTTAGTGTTCACTCTGTTCATACTGTACTTGGTTTCATATTTTTGTGGTTAACATTTTTTTTTACATATGGTTCAGAACGGATTAACCTCATTTACATTGAACCTTCTCAAAAAATTTGATTCTGTTCGCGACCAAAATCGGTTCCTGACCACGTTCGTTGGGGTCAGAACGGATTAACCTTATTTACATTGAACCTTATGGGGAAATTTGATTCGGTTTACGACCAGAATCATGCAACCAATTAAGTTTGTGAACTGAGGTACCACTGTTTTGTCAAAATACAAGAGACGTGTATTCTTCTTGAATCTTGGAGAGCTTTCCGGTCACTGCTGTGCTCTGGCAAAGCACCTTGTCCCCATGTTGATGAGAACAACGGCCTCTTCTCCACAACCCTGGTATCT